ACAGAGGGACTGAAGATTCTTACCTGTCAAACGGATTTTGTGGATTCTTGACGCGGTTCTGTTGCTTTTCGAGACGCTCGATCATGGCGGATCCTGAGCGTGCTCTAAGGCGGGATGATCAGTGAAGAACGAACGGAGGACCCAAAGCCATTGACATACGACGTGCGCGGTGTAAATCCCGTCGGGATGGTGGTCCCTGGCTCTGCCCTAGGTTTTGCGTTCGCGCCGCCGTTGAAGTTATCCTTTATTGAATTCGTCGGTCCAGCCATAGCAAGAAGAAAAAGGTACAAGAAAGAAAGAGGTCCAGTCGAAAGAGTGACGAGGTGACACGTCACATCGAGAGCCGAATTTATACCAGAGACTGTCACATGAGCGTGATAATTCTTTTCATGGTGAACTAAGCATCGCATTCTAACAATAACACGATCTAGAATAGTCAAACGTCCTCCATGACGATGTCTTCGTCCCGAGATACTGCTTTCGTTGCCGCCCAAGTGTTGTCCCCCCACGCCTGCGACTCTGCCAAAAGCGCGTTGTCCCCGCCCCAAGCTGCTGCTTTCGTTGCCGCCCAATTGTTGTCCCCCCGCGCCTGCGACTCTGCCGGGAGCGCATTGTCCCCGCCCCGGGCTGCTTCTTCCTTTGCCGCCCAACTGTCCCCACCCCAAGCTGCTGCTTCCTTTGCCGCCCAATTCGTGTCCTCCGTCTCCGGGTACTCGACAAGGTTGTTGAAGACATCGAGCATGACCGCGCCCTCGGACAAAAAGGAAGGGGCCACAGCAACAGCTAGATTCACAATCTCTTCGTAGATGTCGAGGACGTCCGGGGAGATATCTGGATGGTAGTCGACAATGTGCTGGCAGACGTGAAGGAGGATGTCGAAGTGATCGGCGTCGAGGTCCACGACGTCGATATTGGAGCAGTACGGGCAGGGGAAACAGTCCGAGGAGACGCGACGGCCGGAGGAGCAGTCCTTCTTGAGCATGCGGATGGCGCGGGCCTCGGGCTGGTGAAGTATCGCCTTGAGGTGCGCTTTCTTCGCGGCCATGCTCGGAAACGGTTTCACACGACGCGCGTCGGGCAGGGACGGGTCTGCACGGCACTGGTCACAAATTAGGCCGTCGGATTCGTCATCGGACCCATCAACCAAAGATGCGTCCGGCTTCTCCTTGCGGACGCGCACGCTTAGCGCCTTCCCTCCGTCAGCATCGTAAAGCTCCTGCAGCACCGCAAAGTCCTCCTTGCCTACGTCTTCCTCCGCATGGTCCTCGACGATATGACGAATAAGGTACGCCTTCGAGAAGTACTTGACCTCGCCCAAGGTATCGTCTAGGTCCTCCGCCTCTTCTTGACCGCACCAGGGACACCGCCAGATGATACGTCCCGAGTCGGGGTCTTCTCCGAGGGCATGCGCGGCAACAAGGAAGCGTCTGCTGCGGTTTTTGGCAGAATGGAAGGTCTTCTGGTGGCGATCGAGCTGCACTTGGAACTTCCAGTCCCGGGCGATGTCAGTTGGGGTGCAAGTGCTATCCTCCCGGCACTCGTCACAGTAGAGGGCGTCGGGCTTCGTCTCCTCGAGCGCGACGAGATTCCTGAACTGGATCAGTCTTCGGCTCGCGAACATAGATTCATGAACTCACGTCATCAACCCGATCATTTCTTTGTCGACCGCGGCCGGTGAATTATCTTCAGCACCCTCATCATCCACATCCCCGACGTCGGGCTCAGCAACAGAGATGGGCGGCACTTCTACGTCGTCATCGATCTCCTCGTCCTCGTCCATGTCAAGGTCCGTGCCGTCGCGCGTGCCGATGTTGGGGAGGCGGGCCTCGATCATCTTTAAACGTGCTGCCTTGAGAATTTCTGTAAGACGGGAGGGTTCTTCTAGATCTGCGGCTCGCTGCCTGCGCTCCGCGGCGGTGATGGTGGAATGTTTGCGACGGGCTGCGTCTTCCCGGAACTCTTTAGCGTAACGGGCTCGAGTGCGGGCAGACAGGCGTTTGATCCGGCTAAGCGTCCACTTCAAGATGGTGACGGGGGTATCCTCTTCTTCGATAAGGTTTTGATCGTACTGAGGGAGGTTAGTGAACTGAAATGGAGCAGAGAGGGTGTAACTTACGACGAGATGTTGCCATCCTTCGCCGCCACCGTGTTCCAGACAGCTCTGTAGATTTTGAGCTTGTTTGAGGAGAACGGCGATAATCGGTTGTCGTTCCACGATGCCAGCAAGGTTGAGGGGCGGGACGTCGACCGGGGCACGATAGACGGCTGCGGTGCGACCCGACTGTAGGTTTTCCGCATTGCCTTCGCCGGTGGCTAAGCCAAAGAAATCGAGGCGTCGGTTCCCATCGTCGTAGCTTTCGGAGATGGTGGTGGAGCCCGCACGATGGCCCATTGCACCTGCAGCAACTCTGAGGCCGGCGGCTTTGACCAAGGTTGTTGCGAAACCACTACGGAAGGAATACGGGGCTGCGCCCATCGTTGTTTCTCCACTCCCTGTATGAAATGACAGTTAATACCTTGCCTTGCATAATACGTGCGGAATACATACCGTCAATGCCGACATTGATGGCAACTTTGTGGAAGTGCGCGCGCGCGCCCCCCGAAGACATTGGCACCATGGTGACTGATTGACCACGAGGTCCTGCCCCGCGAAAAAAATGGGAGCTCCGGGTACCTCCATCTCAATAGGTCACCTTCGCCGTCCAAAAGCTCGGGCAGAGTCCTGAAATCGAGAAAGTCGCCGCGGCGGATGCCGAGGACAATGATAAGGCCGGCCAAGTACATGAACACGTTGCGGTGAAGAGTGGGCGGGCGTATGGTGTAGACAACCGTAATTTGATTTTCAGAATATCCCTTGAAACGGTTTAAAATGAATTCAACGTCAAAATGACCTCTTCGAGCGCCGCGTCTCAGTCGAATGGCCTAGGAACATTAATAAGAATATTCTACGAAAAAGAACTCGGCAAATACCTTGAGTTTCAAGAATGTTTTATATGGAGGTGTGACGTAAAGCGAGGAAGGTCGCGCCCCGAACAGAAAGTGAATCAACATTCCGCAGCAATGTTGTAAAGCCTGTTCAAGTCGATCAGTAACCTCACGGACGCAGGAAATTGTAAGAGCATACATTTTCGTAGCAGAGAGGGTTTGTCAGCGTTTCCTCTATTAAAAGCCGAATTTCGTGGATTCCGAATATCATGCGGTCCATCGGCATCGAGGGTAAATTGTATCGACGTTGAAGACCTTTGCACCACTGCAGGTCGAATGTGATTGTCAGTTGAATACCGGGTGGCTGGAAATGCACGGACTCGATAGGACAGGGGAGTCCAATAATCGCTATCAGCGTTGGCGGCGTTGTCGAGTATCTGGGACAACAGTTCAACACGGAGTCACCGTGTCGTGAAAAAATTACTTACGAGCCACAGAAAATCCCAGCGCAGTGACAGAAGACTATTAAAGCTCATCATCTTTCCCACCTGAGTGCGGCTCTTCGAGTTATGAACACGGTGCGTAAGGAAAGCGTATGCTCGAGCTGTGAACAACGGTTAGCCGATCGACAAGACATGTGGGAGAGATTTACAGCTCAGTGGTTGCTCCTTAGTATCGGCCCATTCGTCTCCTTCCAGATCTGGATAGCGGTTTTTCATAAAGTTATTCCACGAATGGGCGATGGCAAGGCGATTTTTGCATTGTGCGCAATGCGAAAGGTATCGTCTCCGAGTCATCGGCAAAGTTCTCCTCGATAGTCGCTTGGATATGGGGGTTGCGGATATTGTTGACGAAGTTGGTCACATACTCGCGCGCGAGCTGTCTGACCATAGTGGTGGGGAAAGAAAGAGCGGAGGGGAAAAGTGCTGCATGTTACGTCTTTTGTACGCAAGCTACATCTTGGTCCGTGCGCCTTCATGAGGTACACTTACGTCTTATGGACCTCATGAAGGCACACGGGCCAAAAGACGCGTTCCTCTGCATCTTCCTCGAGGCGCCACGCCAACTTTATATCCTCCAGCGGGAGCCGTTGCAGGAAACATTCTGGATGGTTAGTTGAACAAGAATAGGCTTGCTCAATGCATCGCGTGAGCGCAGAAATTATGCCTAGAATATACAAGGTATAAGTAGCGGAACTGACGTCCACTTGACTCAACGCTTAGATGGAAGCACAAAGAGGGCAGTTTAATGGACATTTTTTATTGAATGAGAAGCGCGGGTCGAGCGCGCGTGGCCGTGGTTGAAATACGCCCTGGGGTTTCATGGCACACGTCCCAAGCTAGAAAGAGAGCGCATGTATCCGTGTCGTGTAAGTGGCAGCGGAAGAAAGGTGTTGAAAGTGTGGGAATAATTAGCACAGCCACACACCGGGCACCCGGTCTATGAACGCGCCGCGCATTACTTCGCGTCTAAATCTCAGCTCGAGTTGGTATTTTTTCGCCGTTCCTTGCCCAGTCGCGAAGAAACTCTCGAATTTTTCTAAGTCTAAATTTCAGCTCGACTTAGTACTTTTTGCAAAAAAAAAACAGCAGGCCGGGCCAGCCACCGCTCCGCGGGAGATACTGGGTGCTGTATTGCCAGTACCGCTCCGCGGAAAGTACTAGGTCCTTGAGGTGACGAGCCACCGCTCCGCGGGAAGTACTAGGTCTTGGAGGTGACGACCCCACCGCTCCGCGGGAAGAACTAGGTCCTTGAGGTGACGACCACCCGCTCCGCGGAAAGTACTGGGGCTTCCGGAATATCATTGTCTGCTTGGCAGAACGTGTTGCTGTCGACTGGATGTAGGATAGGGTTGATAAGGGGAGATCCAAGTATATTGAGTGATGGGCGAGTTGATTGTGCATGGATTGACTCGTAGGAATGGCGTAGTCTCGTAACAAGCCTTTATATACTTTTGTGAAGACAGTCGTTCACACGTATATAAAGGCATGGCGATCTTTGTGAATAGTGAAAAGGAGCAGATGGACGATTTGAATTGGTGATATCAATGCTTTAGAGTGCAATGGTCCTATAACGGGCACATAGTGTAGTTGGTTATCGCGCCCGCTTCGCATTCAAGTTGCGGGAGGTCTGGAGTTCGACTCTCCATGTGTCCATATTTTTGCAGTCGCCGGTGGCGGTGCAATGATGCCATCAGTCGGGACCTCAAAACAAGACAGACTCGCCAGTGGGAACCCTTAACCTCAAGACAGAGGTGCGGGGTTCGATTCCCCGTTCGTCCAAACCTTTTTACGTCTCTTTCCTGCCTTTTTTACTTGCGTTTATCCCTCCCCACCACTCCATTTGCACTCCAACGAAAGCCTGAATTTCGGGGCTCTCTCACCCCGATTTCCTCATCTTCTCCTTAGGTTTATGCACATCTCAAAAAGGAACCTGTTAGCTCTGTTACAAGGCAGTCCAGAATACAATTTGGACCAAGTAATTTGCTTGAGATTTGGCTCAAATATCCATGAAACAGTCTGATTGTTGCACTTCCTGGTTTAGTACTGTACTTGTCAAGAAACACTCAAAAGTGATTGGGCTTGGTCAGTGGTTGGTTTAGGCAATATTATTTGATGCCATAACACGTAAATCTCCAATATGAAGCTACCTTTGGAATGCAGGGCTGCTGAAACTGAGATACATGCTAAACACAGTAGTTCCAAGTTCAGCATTGACACATCTTATTGCTGTGACTGTGACTTTTCATTTCTTCCACCCACTGCTCGCATTGCAGCCAACCAACTGCTTTGTGTAGGAAAATTTGCCTGCATCTCACCAATAACTGTTACTACAAGCCCTCATCTCTAACTCACGTATGATGAGCATTGAGCCCATCAACAAGACTTTGATCCACAGGATTATGTTCGGGCAGGTCGTTATTAGGGCTGTGAACCGTAACCATAAGCACCAGGTTCACGGCCCGTTGTACGGGTACGGGACCCAGCCATAGTGCCTCTCGAGCAAGAACCTTACAGGTCAGGTACGGTACGGGTCACCCGTACCCGACCGTATACGGGTTTACAGGTTGATCCCTGTGCCAAAATGTGCTTACGGGACCTGGCCGTATGGGCCTCAAGCACACCCATAGCAACCTGTACCATGAACAGGTCTACCCAGAAATCCCCGTACCATACCCGTTTACGGGTACGGGTCTACGGGCTGCAGCCCTAGTCGTTATTGGCCTCCAGATGGCTGTGAAGGAGCTCGTGGGAGAACAGCCTCTATGCTGCTATGCAGGAGCTACTAATCTAGGTGTGCATAATGCCTAGGTCCCTCAGGTGGTTCCGGATTATTTGCTCCTGCACTGAAACAAACAGATCATCAACATACACAATCTCCCTGTGAAGAAGAACAGTGGAACCTTCACCCTTCACCTAAGATTATCTCCACCACCTTGGTATCCTACATTCATCCCGCCTTGCTCATCCTTCACCTCTTTCGGTGAGCAGACGGTCCATCCACCACAAACCCTCCTCCAAATGCCAGTTCTCACACTCCCTTTCAGCATATTACACCAAACCACTATTCCTATTTCATATTCATATTTCCCAAGTATATCCACTCATGTCCTTCACCTCTCCATGGCTTAAAATGTGGAGGCACAAGATACCCAGTCTCATACTATCAGATTAACAGATAGGACCGGTTTGAAGGAAATTACCAAATTTGGCGGCGAGCGTTCTGTTGTTTGGCTTTGCTTGAGGGTACGTGAAAACGCGTGAAGTCCGAAATCCCGAACTTGGACTTTGCTTGCTGGGAACTTGAAACTTGAAGGCTGAGTCTTGAAGTCTACCAAAAATGTCCTCGGCCCGCAGATCAGGACTTCAAAAGGAGATACTGAACCTGTACAGACGGTTCGGCATGCAGCCCATACCATGTTGCCAACTCATCTTTCCTCAGAGCCCTTCGCATCCCGCGCACCAAACCCACACAGACGCGCGCAAAATGGGATCTTCTAATCCGCTACTCGTTCCGTAACAACGCTGCGAGCGTGTCTCCGCGGGACGTCAGTGCCATTGACCACCTACTGCGCGTCGGGGGGCATCGTACGAAGAGGTGTCGGTCAGAGACTCCCAGGTTTCCGCAGAGATGCGCATGTGGAAGCAGACGCAGACGCAACGACAAAACCGGATGCTTGCATGATAACACTGTCACAGTGAACGGTATTTTCTATCCATTAAATGATTTATACTACATGTAAATGACGGCAGATGCTTGAAGGGTTTTTGGGTTTCCCCTTGGCCTGCCGCTTCTTGTGCTCCGCATTGGCGAGTTTTTGCGCTTTGGTCCAGCGCGGCTCTTTTGCTAACTTTGTTTTTCCAGACAAAAGGAACGTCCTCGTTCGGTAAGTGACACACCAAATCGCACACTCTGCCGCCGCAGCGGCAATGGCGCCTTCCACAGGCAACCCAAAAGTCGGTGCATTCGACTTGACTTATTTATTCGCCAATCTGACTCTGTGCAGCATGCGCCCAGTGCGGCTACCCGGCGGCCAAGCTCCACTCGTATGAGTGAGACCAGAAGGCAAAGCGCAGAAAGACCACCGGCACTGGCAGGATGCGCTACTTGAAGGACGTTTCCAGGCGGTTCAAGAATGGCTTCAGGTGAGTTCCAGTCTTTTTACCCGACGTCGGGGATGTGGATGATGATGGTGCTGAAGATAATTCACCGGCCGCGGTCGACAAAGAAATGATCGGGTTGATGACGTGAGTTCTTGAATCTATGCTCGCGAGCCCTAGACTGATCCAGTCCAGGAATCTCGTCGCGCTGGAGAAGACGATGCCCGACGCCCTCGACTGTGACGAGTGCCGGGAGGATAGCACTTGCACCCCAACTGACATTGCCCGGGACTGGAAGTTCAAAGTGCAGCTCGATCGCCACCAGAACACCTTCCATTCTGCAGCAGACGCTTCCTTGTCGCAGCGCATGCCCTCGGAGAAGACCCCGACTCGGGACGTACCATCTGGCGGTGTCCCTGGTGCGGTCAAGAAGAGGTGGAGGACCTAGACGATACCTTGGGCGAGGTCCAGTACTTCTCGAAGGCGTACCTTATTCGTCATATCGTCGAGGACCATGCGGAGGAAGACGTAGGCAAGGAGGACTTTGCGATGCTGTGAGAGCTTGACGATGCTGACAGAGGGAAGGCGCTAAGCGTTGCGCGTCCGCGAGGGGAAGCCAGACACATCTTTGGTTGGTGGGTTTGATGACGAATCCGACAGCCTAATTTGTGACCAGTGCCGTGCAAACCCGTCCCTGCCCGACTTGCGTCGTTTCAAGCCGTTTCCGAGCATGGCCGCGAAGAAAGCGCACCTCAAGGCGATACTTCACCAGCCCGAAGCCCGCACCATCCGCATGCTCAAGAAGGACTGCTCCTCCGGCCCGTCGCGTCTCCCCGGACTGTTTCCCCTGCCCGTACTGCTCCAATATCGACGTCGTGGACCTCGACGCCGATCACTTCGACATCCTCCTTCACGTCTGCCAGCACATTGTCGACTACCATCCGGATCTCTCCCCGGACGTCCTCGACATCTACGAAGAGATTGTGAATCTAGCTGTGGCCCCTTCCTTTTGTCCGAGGACGCGGTCATGCTCGATGTCTTCAACAACCTTGTCGAGTACCTGGAGACGGAGGACCCGATAGGGAACAACAATTGGGCGGCAAAGGAAGCAGCGGGTTGGGGCGAAGACATCGTCATAGAGGACGTTTAACACTTTGACTATTTTCTAGACCTTGCGTGTATGTTATCGTTAGAATGCGATGCTCAGTTCACTATGAAAAGAATTGACGATACAAAGCTTTTTTTTTGGTAGTACATACTACATACGGCAAGTACATACTCGTAGTCCGTTTGAGCTACGCTACACATGAGCTACGCTACACACAGTGACAATGAACAGTGACAATGAACAGTGAATCAGGTCTTCGTCCGTGGGCGAGAAGCGGTTGCCAAGAAACACGTCCCTTTAGTTCCCGCCTCCCTGGATCTCGTTCGCACGAAGTACATTCTCCCTCTCGCGCAAGTCGAGCTCCTTCTCGCGCAGAGCGACCTCCCTTTCATGCAGTACGAGGCGTCGCTCTTCTTGGAAAAGTTTTTTGAGCGGTAATATAGAGGCCGTACCCTTTCATGTAAAGTTCGATGAATTGAAGCGAGCCGGATGGCATGGGCCCTTCCAATTTCATGGCGGAACGCAGGGTCACAAAGAAATTAGCATCAGTCTAGTTCTGAGGGTCAGCCAGGTCGCCGCTTTGGGGACATGGGATAGCGTACCATTGCCGGATCCTCTAGCAGGGCCGTCGGCTGCAAGACGTTGAGACGGGCGGCATGAAAAAGAGAAGTACGCGTACAACATCTTCTTCCTCCGTGTCGGACGGGACGTACTCCCCATCCTTCGCCGTCTTCTTCGCACTGGGAGCGGTGGCCTCGGGTGGATGTTAGTATGCGCATGAGAGATTACCGCGAAGAAATAGACTTACCTCGTCATCGTCAGACTCCGCGTCCTCAACTGGGATGGCTTTGCGTCTCCCGCTCGAGGGTTTGGGCGCAGGGGCCTGTGGAGCATGTCAGTGCCACCCGGCAAAGCAGGCAGGGCCTACTCACCTTGGAGTGCGCACCGGTTCTCGCTCTCTTCGCAGACTTCGGCGTTGACTGGCGTCAAAAGTATCATTTACGCAACGAAGATGCGTCTTACCTTGGGACTGTTGCCGGGCGTAGACCCCGCCAGTAAAGGCAGAACCATCATTCTCCTTGCTTTGGACACTGCGGCGGTGCGCGACCTTCTTCTCTGGCGAAAACGACGCGTCGTCTATCTGCAAAGTCGCATTAGTGTTGTATGTGATTGAAAAGACGAGAGAAAATAGCGTACGCGACGCCGTCCTTCCTCGACGTCATCATCGTCGTCGCTCTCGCTCCGACCACGCTTCGTACTAGGATACCAACTTTGAGGAGAAGAAGTACAGAAAACCGAAAGATGTTTACCGTGCCGCCCGTTCGAGCTGGGCAACCCTGAAGATGAGTCTCAGTCCAGGTGTCTTTCCAAAGAGAGACTGAAGATTCTTGCCTGTCATACGGATTTTGTGGATTCTTGACGCGGTTCTGCGTCGGTCCAGCCATCG